TTATGAATGAATAATTTCATTGTGGGCAAGGTTTTCGACCGAATTCCAACCAGCAACAACAATCGTGGCTATTTACTCCCTTCAATATGAACATGTGACAGTTGCCAGTATCGGTGCAGAAACGCCTCATTTTTCGGGGGAGGACGAACCGTATTTCCATATACGATTGGATACCACTTTCTCAAGTCTCGTGTCTGCGCAAAATCTAGTATACGAATCTGTAGCAAGCCCGGAGAGATTCGTGAATATTCTAAACCATGAGACTCCGCTCTCTTAGGCTTATGATCGATGGTCCAATTGTATAGGCGTTACCCACTGCACAGCATTTACCGTCAACAATCCAGTCCGCGAGTCCTTGGTCACATTATGCACCCGAATGTGAGAAGGCGAACAGGTTTTTGGTTTCTAAACATGGAGGCTACGAATGGCTTGGCTTTCTCTTACCTTTTGAGACAGGCAGGGCTTTCCTTTCTTTCAGAGCTAGACGAAGAGGAGGTAAGCAAACCAGCCCTTTTGGCGTTTCGGCTGGGACCGTATGCTGAATGTTGGGGAGGGGATGGGGTCCCCAACGGTCGACGGTTTACTTCAACTCGGTTGGTACGATAGGAGAGTACTGACGCAAGTGGTGCAGCTGGTCCAGCAGCTCCGCCAGAAGGGCTGGTTTGCTCACCCCAGGACTAAGCCTTGGAGAGGGGACGGACCCGTCCTCTCTTTAAGGCTTAGTTCTGAGGTAAGCACCAAATTGTGGCGGTTCTAAGGACCGAGTTGAAGTGGTCCGTCCACCGTCGGGGACTCCATCCCCTCCCCAACATTCAGCATACGGTCCCAGCCGAAGCGCCAAAAGGGCTGGTTTGCTTACGTCTAGACTGAGATATGTGTGGAGGTCCACACAGGATTAACCATTCATGTGCAAATCCCAAAGAGGGAAGAGAAGGTCGTATAACTTCGTATAATGTATGCTATACGAAGTTATTACGCGATTTTAATGGAGGGACTATAGCAAGTGAAACTTGCATTTCTGAAAGAAATAGCAAGAGGAGTTCTCCGAGAAGCAGAAGATTCTATATAAACGTTCGATAAATACTCCATATTTTTGTCGTTCCTCACACTCTGTCACTCCTCTTCCACTAGCCCGAATTGGAAGGTGAATTTCGGCCAACTAGTTTAGGAGTATTTTTACCCCCCTAGAAGCGGATTGATAGTGGTTGTTATAAAGACGGTACAATGGTGGGCTCCTACTGACCATGAAATCGCTCAATGCAATGGTTGGCCTTGGTTGAACGTCTTGTTTCATACTCCATGAATCTTCACAAAAAGTGGATCCGTTGGGCAATGCCCAGAGATACGTGCGTTGCAAAATCATAGACACCCCAAAATGTGAATACATCGGCCTTTTAGAACAAGCCTTCTATCCGCAGCTGTAGACTCGCTTAGATTTTCTCTTCTCTGGTTTCAATCAGAACGCCTAACGAGCATGGCAGCACGCTTCGCAGGACCCTACGCTAGTTGTCCATATCAGTGATTTTGCTATAGGATTTCATTTCTATCCTCTTTCTTTCGTAGAGCTGACACAGGTTGACCGTACATGGTGATTTTGTTTGATGTAATCTTCGAGGTTATAGCTAATCCTTTTAGAGAACTTCTGCTATTTATCCTGGTGCACTCTTATTTCTATTCGTAGTGAGAATTTGGAGCCAAGCTATGGTTTTCTTTGAGCTCCTAAAAATGGCTTCGATGCTCATGGTAGAGCCATCAGGCGCGTATAAAAAGAAAGTCTGGCTTTCACTCGCGGAGGGAAAGGGAGCAACTCAAACCGTAACTCTAATAGTAGAGTTACCGGCAATGCCCAAATTACCGACGGACAAGTGCTATTCATCTGTGTTTGTACAAGTGCTACCATCGTTGCTGGATGGATAAAAAAATTCAACTTCAACTGTAAGGAGACTTCCGAGGGGTGTCCTATGATTTTGCAACGACTACAAAACTAAAAAAATTGTCTAAAAATACGGAAAACTATTCGGATGATCTGGCTAATTCTACCAGTTGCGATAGATCGCTTCCTTCTAGAAGCCGAGATATTCATATTTTTGGGGGGTGTTCTATGATTTTGCAAAGCACTGTAGAAGGGGGAGGGGAGGGGTCGTGGTAGTGATCTTTGGAGGAAAAGGGCTGTATTTGATAAGATTTTTCTATTTTTGAAACAGAGTTGAGAGATAGAGATATTTTGGAGCTTTTATAATTGGAATACCTTCAACAGATCAGCAGGAGAAACGTCAGGTTGAACTCAATGATCCTGAAATCACGAGCCTCACCTCGTCCTGATGAAAAGAACAGGAAGCAGGAGCCTGTCTCGTGACTATTCCTCCTTGTTCGAGAAAAAAGACATAGACGAGTTTTGGACTGATTGAGCAATGAAATAGAATCTCGATTGACGTGAGGGTAGTTCCCTTCGACAGTCGAGATGAGAATTGGAATGAGGTGTTGGAAAAACTTCCAGACCCGGATGCGTCTATCCGGGTAGGCGGACGATTTGCGATTAGCTGGAAAGGCCGGGGTCTATTCATGTGAATTCTCAAGTCGCAAAGCTCTTCAGAATGATTCAGACTGGCCACTTAGGCATCTCCTTGAGCCGCATTCACAATAAAGGGCATTAGTGTTATCGGATTTTGTCAGTCTTAACAAGTGTCTGCAATTCGCTGAAGCACTTTCGAGCGTTTCGATGAATTCCGGCCCAGATGTATAAAAAGCAAATCACACTTTTCAGAACACTCAAAACTCTTTCAATGGTTTTCCTTAGTTCACAAGATTTCTAGGAAAATGCAGAAATTTTCAAAACTAGAAGCGAAAGCAAACATCTGAGAGTTGCGGTACATAAGAACCTGAATCGATTCGATGATTGACACCCACCTCTTTCACCCCTCGTACTCTTTTGTATCACCCCCACCACCAGGAACCGGTCCGTCATTACTTTCTATTTCGATAGCAGTAACACGTGTGCCTGCGTGACGATGGGCAAATAACAAAGAAACTACCAGTTCGGCCTCAAACTACACGAATTGGGGAAAGAGAGGGCCACAACTAACTAATTTGCGTTCTGATTTGCTTGGATCTGGTACAGCTGTTTCTGCTCAATTGCTGTGGTAACCTCACTCCAATACGAAAGGGGGGATGCTAAGTGAGTTGGGGGGGAAGGTGGAGACCGTCTCTCAAGTGCGATGGGTCTGAGCCTGAGAGTAGGAAGGAGTGGGTAGGCTGTGAGCATTGTGATCTGCGATTGACTTTTGACACATTTGCCTCCTTCTAGGCTCAGACTCAGTGCCATTCCGCTTGACAGACCCCTCGCCGCCGCGTGGTCCCCTTCCAACTCACGTAGCACCAAGCAGAGATGCGAAATGGGCTACAAGAGGAGAAAAAGAAAGAAATATTGCCAGAAACACAGCAAATACGAACCTTCTTTCTCCACGCTGCGGATAATCCTAACCACAAGAGGAAGACAGCGAAGTAAGAGATTATGTGAGTCGAGGAGAATGCGAAAGAATACCTGTCAATCATACGACACGGAGAAGACATGAAATGGTGGGCGGGTGCGGATTGAAGGGGCGTCAGCGGATCAAAATCGTGGGCGCTTAGCTCCCTAATGAGGTGTTTTGCTGGTTAGGTTGTCGCAGTCTCTACAGTTGTGGACCTCTACCCTCCCCAGGGATCTCCTTAGTACGGCTCGACCCGACAAATAGAAACGATAATAAAAGAGAGACTGACGATTATGAGCTCATCTTTGAAGGCAAGGTCGTACGCTAAATCCTACATAAAGAGCAGAAGGGTCATTTCCTCAGAGGTCAGGGATACGTTCATAGACGGAGTCGTTTTTGTAAGTCCATATCGTCGGTAATTCTGCTTCATTGGCTGAAATTTCTAGACTGCGTTCGTAATGATCGCAAGTGACCGGTCGCAATGATTGGGCGGAGGAGAATAGCGAGAATCTGTTATACAAATGGACGTGAGTTCTTTTTGAGGCACAGCCCCGGAACCAACTTGGGAGCACGGGGGGGTTTAAAAGCGCAGGAACATGTGGAATGCGCAACTTGGGGGAGGGGGGAGTGGATCGCGAGTTGGGTGATGTCGCCAGGTTTGGTGTGAAGGCGTTTTGGTCGCGTGCATTGCAGAGAAAAGTAGTGGACGAATGCGCTATTTGCCGCTAGCTACCGCGAGAGGGTGCGCGGTTGGGAAGCAGGTCGCGTTTTTGAGGCATCTTTTAGCGATGTTTTTGAGAAAAACTATTGTATTGAAAGAAGCTTGATTGAATTTCATACACCTTTTCGTCTCACGCCGGCCGACAGTCGTTTTCGAAAGAAAAGAATGGGAAAAGTCTAAGACTGTTTCGAGCTGATTTCAAGAAATATTAAGTAGTTATTGAGGAGACATATAACGAGAACTCCGCCATGTTTTGTGAGAGAGGATGGGGGGGGGGCAGAAAGCCAGGGGTACTGGAGGAGGAGGTGTCGAGAAAGTGAAGTCCGCGATAGGGAGCCTACTGGGCGAGCCTAAGAGGCAGATGCGTGATGCGCTCAACGGAACGGCCGAGTATGAGAACCCTCCTAAAAAAAAGGGAAGTCGTAAAGATTTCGAGGAAAACGTGCAAACGAGTGGTTTGACTCCTCATCTGCCTCTGAGCCTTAAAACGACCGCCTCCTGTTTGCCAGATACGGTGTTCAAGCCCGTCACCTCTTGTCACAACTGCTGGCAGAAATGGTTCAGCTTTATTCTGCTCGATCAGATGATAAAACTCCAAATCTCAATGTCTCGCAGACCCTTGGACCAGCTATATATACTATGAGGGCTCATTGAATACTTACCTTTAGATTCTTCAAATGCTCAATATGTTTGGGAGTGGAGTGCTACGAGTGGAACTAAATTGGCATAGATAATACAAACAAAGCTTTATACATAAGGTATCTACAATTTATTATGCTATACTATGTAGCAGGAGGGTGAAATCTTCTTCAGTCTCCTTGTTGACTCATGCTAGTGTTAACTGCTGCCGCTAAAAAAGCGAATTATTTTAAACGTCTTTCTCGAAAAAATCGGAAAATGCAATTTTTTGTATATTAGGAAGTGAAGGTGAAGATGTTAGGAGTGCTCATGGCTTTAGGTGATTTTTGCACGACGAGCTGGATCGAATCCCTGCAACACTAACTGCCCTTTCCCTCCCCCTCAGTGTAGGGCCAAAAACTCGCTGACTGGACTTGTCCAAAATAGAAATGTTTGGAGCTGCACCAATTCGCTAAAGAAAACTTCCGTGGATTTTAAAGTGCACTAAAATACCCTTGCAAATTCAAGTGTGATGGTCCCAGTTGTCCGACCCAACACAGGAAGCTCCGCACAAGGAAGCGATTACGACTCAAGGAGGGAGCGCACATCGCCGAAATATGCGCCCATACAAGCGAGCAAGCGTCTTAGCTGTCGTGGATCGAGATGTAGCGACTTTTACGGCAAAGGTGCGCTGGTTCCTTAGACGCAGGGGCAGCTCAGTTGGCCCGCGTCTCTTCGAGAGCGGCGGTCCGCGCCCCCGTGCTTTTAATTGATGATCCAATCAGTGAGCTGCGTTGAGCCTGAGGCGTAGCTCGACAGTAATTAGTGAGAAATCGACTGAGACCAGCATGGATTGGAAGTGTTCCCATCAATGACGTTGCTGTGAACTCGTCATACGATCTGCCGTCTTAGCAGCCACCTGGGGCGTTGGAGCGAAAATCAATGGCCTTAGAGTCAGGAATTGTGCCCGCTTTTTTTTCGTTTCTTGCTGAATTTCTCTGCTTTTATTCGGCCCGCTGGGCGTACCATCGAGCCACACCCCTACTCCCTCTACTGCTGTCGGAACCCGTCGCAATCGCTACCATAACGAATGCGAGACGCAGTATAGACCGAATACTACTCTGCCCGCTCCCACGTTTCCACGTCCACCCACAGTCACAAAGTGATCGGATTGATAAGTCCTGATTAACTGATAACGGAACGTCGGAAAGATCCCCATCGATCGCAAGATTTCGCGTACAAGCCGCGTCGGCGATACGACCAGTGGAGAGCTTTGTACCACGTAAAACTACCGTGTAACTTAGTGCTGTAAGGTGGACGAGCGAACCACGAATTAGAAGTGGCGAGGAGAAGTGCAAGGTGATAAGCCGGGTGACTACAGGAGATTGCAAGAACAAGTGCGTGGAAATGCAAGAGGCACGACCGAGTTTTGTGTGCTACTCCTCGCATAATCGGCTGTAAACATATTGTTGAACACCATTCAACTTATGGGGATGAGGTGGGGACCATGAGGGTGGGTGAAAGAAAGTGGGTGGTGAAAGCGATAAGAACTGATAAGGGGCGTCAGAGTGTGGATACCACCAATTTCGTCGCGGCCTTCGCAGTGACATTAGATTTTTGGCTCTTACATATGGTACGGAGAATCTTACGGGAACACGAATGATAAGTGATCAAAAGTGATCAACAATGGATGACGGCTGATAACGAAGTCCAGAATTGGGTACTATCAAATTCGTTGTAGTCTTCGTGGTGACAGTAAAAAATTCGCTTCTACATGTTTCATAGGGGGTTTGACGGGGACAACGATGCTATCCGTATGAACGGTAAACAAATGACAAGAAATGATAAGGGGCGTCTGAATGCGAACGCTACAACTTTGTTGCAATTAACACTGCCATCATGGCGGCAAGGCTAAGCCAGGTTCTTAGCCCGTGAATGCTTTCATTTCTATCCTTTCACCAAATGGTGCAAATGGTGCAAAGAAAGTTGAAACGCTCAACTATCTGGACCAGGACCAATGACAAGTTATCATCAGAGCTGGGTTAGTTGCAGATTGAATGGTCATATCTCACTCTTTCGGCGATACTCACAGTATTGATTCTATAGACCGCTAAATCATCCTAACTCGATATTAATGCTGAATGTTTACGAACGCGTGATAAGCCATTTCATTCCGCGTGCTACGCGTGGCACTGCAAGATAGTCTGTCAGCGGAATTTTTGCAGTCATCTATGCATTTTATCAGGAGGCATTTTTCCCAAGGCAGTAATTCAACGTAATTTTTCTCAGGCCAATCCGTGACGGCATAACATTCTAACAGATTGTCCGTTTCTCTGAACGCAGCACCATATGAGGCGCATGCGCGAGTTGCGTGCGGAGCTAAACTGATATCATTTTCACAATCGAAAAATATCAGACTTAGACGATTGATCAGGCATGTTGCGCGCATATCAAAGAGCAACGTCACTGTTACTGTTTCAATGATTATCCAGCACTGCCAATTCGATTACCGACCGACAACGATAATGACGGCGTTCGATAGTACGAACTAAATTGAAAGGTGGAGCCTCAAATTCTTTCAATCCCAATTGACAGAATCGAATGCTGGCGCGTCATCCAAGGGCTGCATTGGAAACCAGCGAACATTTCAACTTTAATCTGGTCTGCTTCCTGGCAGTGCTGCCTCCACTACTTGACTGGTTCTGTAGGCTGCAAATGCCGCTGATTCTGACGGCATCTGAAAAGGCGGTATCAACCTATCACCTATTTCGGCTGATGAACACATATTTCTACAACTCACTGCAGAGAGGTCCGCTTCAGACTACCTTTCTCTCCGGGTCTATTTCTTAGGCAGCCCACAACGCCGGCACAATGGGAGCAAATTTCTTCTCACTAGAGGGTGACTCAAGTGACACTCAAGCCCAGCCTTTTTCTAAACCGGTCCAAGAATCGGTTTGATTTTCATAGCTTTCTTCCTTCATTTTCTGATTCTAAATTTTCTAAATATCTACGGGACTGATCCATTACACTTATAAACGTCTGCAACGAATACATTTAATAATGAACGTCCGTAATTTTGGAAACAGAGCCAGATAGATGAGAATCAAGAGGACGGGCACGCTGAGCAGCAGTGAAAATGCCAAATAGGCTGGTGTTTCTGTTAAATTTCCACGAATTCCTTGAAAAAGAACTGAGAGAGATAATCTAAATAAACCAGATAAACTATATACAATATTTTGCCACAATGATCAAATTTTTTTGAGGTTTGTTAAACTCTCGGTTGTTTGGCCGCAATTTCGCCTTGAGCCGCAATAGGTTTATTAAAAATTTCATTAAAAATATAATAAATATTATAACTCGGATATAAACTCAGATACTTGACACTATCCGCTGAACGTACCCCATGCAAGTCGTATAGCTTCAATCGGAGCAAAAGCTAAGATGATGAAAAATTCCAGAACTCGCACGTGATACTGGTACGGCAAAACTGATCCTGAAAAGACCCGATTTCATGATGGCATGCTCAAAATATGCTCATGGGATAATCTGGATTCTATTATTTTTACACAAAGTTAGGAAGTAAGATAGAGTTTTATTACCGACTGTACTTCAGTCCCATCCTGTGAAATGAAGTGGACCCCGTAAGAATCAGGGAACATTGTTACTCTCTATTTGTACATTGCGTGTGGCGTTTGAATGGATGTGGCCTATTTATTCATCATGAATCTTGCGGCCAGTCGATAAAGTGGAACAGAGAGTCCAGTGGTGTTCAGGCCTCCCAGAACAACGGTGGGACAAGATGAATATTACGGGTACCCGGAGAGATGTAAAGGCTTGGTTGATCCCGGACTGCAAGCATAATCACACCTGGATTCGATCCACCGAACGCGCGAAGGAGCGTGGTAAAGAGACAGCGCACGTTGCTACCTACATTCCACCCCAGCCGAGCTGTTATCAGACATGTTGACAATCTTAAGCACCCCTAATTACCAACAGATTGCTGGAGACTAGTGAGTAAAGTGGCGCCAACAGAGAGAGAGATCACCACGATGACTTCAGCAAGGGAGGTTGGCAGGCACGGAAACGACTGGAATGCCTGAAAGCATTACGGATCATAAAGTAACGGATTAGATAAAGGAAACAGATATCAGGACTCGGCCGCTGAACCAAAGCTAATACATGCAAAATCCGTATTCCTGCCAAGCCAACGACAAAACTTTTACCCCTCCCTGTCCTCCAAACCGTAAGTGTTGATATCAGATGCGACCAGGGGTCAACATTGACCATTTTTGCATTTGGCACATAAAATTGGAATAAAAATTTAATTAGCGATTTTCACAATCGCGAGGGCGCAGAAGTCATAAGAGTCCCCATTCGACATTAATGAGTTATTTTATTCGCTCATTGCTTACTTCCCGATGATACAGTGAGAGTGCAACGCGCGAAACGGAGCCTGTTTCAGGGTCCATGTTTCGACCTCTCGTAAATCTTGGCATAAGCCGATAAAGAAAAGAAAAGAGTATACTTTCAGCGATTAGGAGTTCTCGAGAGTACCGGCAACCGAGCCTTCATGACCCTTTTATTTCGGACATAAACGTTTCGACCAGTTATCGCCGCCCTCGAGGCGGATCGCTGGAAAGGCCAAAAGTGAACGAGCTGACATTACACCCCCGGATTCAACAGCCATCTTCAAACTTCAAGACAGTTGACGCCCAATGTCCTATTCTCCGGAAGGCCTTCACAAACCCTACTTCGAGATATCGACTGTAGGTAACGAATACCAAACACAATCTTTAACCCAGTCGCGACCGCGCGGATTGCGCAATAGCAGGAGAGTCAGGAGATTTTTCTTCAATAAAATTTGAGTGGATGGAGATTTCCCCTGCCCAGGGCTGGCGTAGATGAATGAGGGTATGAAGATTCTTTTCAGGAAAGAAAACTTTCCAAATTCCATCTTGAACACGGTCCTGATGTGCCCCGGCAGCCACCGGTGGATACCATAGCCCTCAGTAAGATCTTTGGCAGCCACCGGTGGCTGCCATTGTCACGAATGGGTTAATCACATTTCCCGCCTTCCGAACTCGGTTAATTCACATCATTATTTTTCGAAATTTCAGCTGCAAGTAACTAGTGGACACAGCTCGTGCAAGTCGAGGAAGGCAGTAAGGCCACTACCTTCAGAAGATCCACAGTATTTCCTTGAATAGGAAATTCTGTTGTAGTGTCCTACTATCTAGCCCAAAAGGATTGACAACGCTAAACTCTGGATGGTTCATTTCCTGGAGTAGGTCTGCTATAAAAACCGTTGATCAAATAGTAATAAGCCAAGAATTGAAGAAATTTAGCATTCAATCCTGTGATCGCTGAAGAACTTCGTTATGTAACTACTTTGACGCTCCAAAATCAAGCGGAGATTAGGAAGCAGCATTTCAAGAAGCCTGTATAAGGGTAACTCCCATATATGGCAGACATTGTTGCCAACATCATGCCAGTACGAAGTTGTAGGATCCTAGCATTTCCTAGCTCTGTAATTTAGGGCTAAGTCGCACCACATGTGCACTTTGGGGTGTCTGACTGAAGATCCAATCCGAATTTTCCACGCCGTTGGCATGCCCGTGGCCTTCAACCGCCGATTAGTTCGGAGCAAAGGCCAATAACAAAACTCGATTCAGAATCTGGGGTAGTAATTGAAGGCTGCTCCAAACCTTGCAAGCGGACATCAGAACAGCACAATGCTCCAATGTTATCCTACTTACTATAAAGCGCTTCGTCTGTCGTCTGTCTGTCGTCTGTATGTCTGTCACGAAATTCCCTAGCTCCTCGGGATCCGCCTGGAGGGACCGGGTCAAGTGTGGACGGGTGGGCAAGGTCTCACGAAGTACAAAACACACATCAGCTAAGCGGAGCCCGCCCACAGTGGGCGTGGCGTGCGTCGACATGAAGTGTACTGACGACCGAGATTTTCAATTCTCTTAGAAAACGACCTTGAAACTGGGCCAAAAAGTGGGTAAAGGTGTGCATTGGTAAGTCACATCGAATTAGGGAGACCCCCGGTGGGCGGGGCGTTCTCCAAAAAAGCAGTGCTTTATGAAAAATTTCATAACTCGGTTGGGAGAAAGCCTACAGAGCAGAAAACAATTGGTGTAAGGGAGCAATGTCTAAGGTGTTTCCAGCATACATGACGTGGGCGGAGGCCTGCCCAGAATGGGCGGGCGCGCGCTCTGAAGTGTACAGCATTTTCTACAAGCCCTCATAATTCGGGTCGGGGAAGTCTTAAAGAGCCGGAAAAAGGTGGATAGAGGTGTATGGAGGAGTGGAGGCCAGCTGTCATCGGTGGGCGGGGCTTGACCAAAGTGGGCGGAGTTTGCGACGAAAATTCATAACTCGGCTCCAAGAAGTCCCGGAGGCCGGGAAAAAGGTGGATGGAGGTGGGTGGAGGAGTGGAGGCCAGCTGTCATCGGTGGGCGGGGCTTGACCAAAGTGGGCGGAGTTTGCCAAAAGGTCGCAATTCGGTTCCAAGAGGTCCTAGAGATAGGGAAAACGGGGTTAGAGGTCGGCGAAAGGAAGGGGGCCAAATGCTATTGGTGGGCGGAGCACGCACCGAAGTAGGCGGAGTTTGCCACGAGATTTATTGTCCGGAAGCAGTCCGGAGACCGGGAAAAAGAGGATAATGGTTGACGAAGAAAAAGAGGTTGAAAGCCGTCGATGATGGAGCGGATAGAATTTAGCTGAGAATTCAGATATTCGTGTGTATCAAGCCAAATTTGAAAATTTTCGTCGCACCATCAAAATTCGCCGCAGATCTGTGTTGTGCGCGCAAAGCGTGCGGCGCCAGCTGACCGGTACTGCTTGCCCATCCTTTCGGGACAAGCGATAGCGAGAGGTGAAGGAGAGTAATTGTTAAATTCTTTTTGAACACACTATGCTTTTCGCTCCCTATCCGGAACTGAAGAGGCACTTGTATGCACACCTGCCCTATGCTATTCATAGGTCATATCCAAATAATTTTTAACCAGCCCGTCAACCTCGCAAACAACTCTGCAAGGAAAGACATAACCTCAACATATAGTATGCCATTATCCGAAAGCAGCGCCTCTACGCTAGCTCTGTAGGGGATTAGAGAAAGAAGTGGCGAGGACAATACTCGTCAGTTGGCAAAAAAGAGAATCAGTCGAGAAAGCGGAACCCCTCTTTGTTGGCCCGATGATTTTTGAGCTTTATGGAGGGGAACGAGAAAGACACTCAGACTACGAACCCAGCTTACGCGCAAGCGTTGATGGGCAATCCCTGCCAAACGTTGCTCCAGTCGAGTTGCTCAAATGGCGGATATACTTCACCGATGCGCTCCCTCTTTATCTTACTCGCTTCTTCGAAACAAAAACATAGCTCATTTCTCGAATTAGAGCTGGAGTCGGAGTTTCCGCGCTCCAACGAGTTTGTCACATATGTGGTTGAAGGGGCGGAAGTGGTGTAGTGGCAAGTGGCACGCTTACCACGCGAGCGGTCCGGGGATCAAATCCTGGGTCGTGAGTCGCCCGGGCCAACCAAGCCTTCCATCCCTCCGGGGTCGGTTAATTGGTACCAGACTTGTCTGGGAGGATAACACTGACTTGTACATCGGCTGGCCCCGCAAGTCATTGTATAGGCCACATCGCATTCAAACGCCACTACGAATGTACAAATGGAAGTAGAATGCGTGCCGCATCCCAAAAAGGGATTGATCAACGGCAAATGCTTTATCCTTTATCCTTTTATTGTACAGAAATACAATATGAAGGCCACCCTCACCATGAGGTCCCACTCCGCTATACTACCGTACCGACTGGCATCCTCGTTTGACACATCAGCCTTTCACAAATTAGCTAATACAAAGATGACTGCTCCTCTTCCCTTCACCGAGTATTTTCAGCCATTTCCCACCATTTTGTGACCCATATGAGAAGCTCTCTATATTTTCCTTTCCAGGCGACTGTATTGGGAGTTGTGCTGACGTCATTTTAGCCCGTAAAATGTTTTCCAGTCATAAGGCTATGTGAGAAGAGACGAGGAAATATAACAGGAACACAGAGAAAAAGAAAATAAATAAATAATAAATAAATAAATAAATAAGAAAATAAGGACATTACCTTTGTAAAAGTAAAGAAAAACGAGCATAATGAAGAACACAAACGAATATGATCGATGCGCATGCATCAGAACCTGATATATCAGCGAGGATCTCTGAAAAAGTAGTCTTATGACTCGAAAATTTACGGATTCTGGAATACGTGAATAAACTTACCACATTCGACGTCATTCGGAAGGTGAATCCTATACACAGCGATTTTCGGTACGCGAGCACTGGGTCGCTTAGCAACCAGCATCGGTGACTCCTGAGAGGTAATGCTGGACGTGGGTGTCAAGTAGGGGGACGCTATCGTGAGAGGAGGGAGAGGACCAGTGAGAAGGATGTCTTTTCAGGAGAATGCGATCTGGGGTTTCTCAATGAAGTTGAAATTGAGTTTCTAGAGCGAATGTAGTTTTAAATATATACAATACTTCAGAGAACTTCTGACAATTACTGGGAGGATTGGGTCCTCAAAGGCATCCGTCAACCCTCTCCTTTCTTTCGGAAGCCCACATCTCCAAGCATTTTGGTCTAGAACATCCCACATTTACTTCTGTGTTGGGCTCACACAAGAACAAAGACGATTATTGCGGGAGTTAGGTTGAGTTCAAAACTGAACGCTGC